AAAAAAAAAGAGGGGGGGGGGGGGGGGGGGGGGGGGGGGGGGGGGGAGATTTCTCGGTAGGGTAAACAAAAATAAGCATGCTGAACAGTTTCACAGGGTACAGTAGTCAATAATTCCGATAGAAATATGAAATATTATCTCTATTAACCGAAAATGTACATATACATAATAATGCGCAGTAGATAATCATTCTAATATCCGGACCGTGAAATACAGGTATAAAATAGAAGTCTGGTCTGGTTTCGAACATGGCCTAAATAGACGTTCAAAATGAACAACGAACGAGTTCAATTAATCGATCGAAGTGCACTGAATTGATAATTCGGTATCGTTCCGGAAAGTTTCAATCAAACTTATCTATGCAGTATCACTGGACCGCGAATATATTATAGAGAGAAAAGGGGGAAGAAAAAAGTAACGAAAGAGAAAATGAAGGAGAAAAATTGTTCTCTCGTACGATGATAATATTACTAAAGCGGGGGAACGAGGAAAGCCGACCGTACGCGATAATTAATTAAATATGCCCAACGATCTCGAATTTCGATTCAAATTCAGAATTAGGTGTTTCAATGTTAGCGACTGAAATTTAAAATTTCAACTGTTCAATTAAAGCGGTAGATCTTAAACGTAAGGATAAACGGTTCTCGAATGTTCAAAACTTGCCGTACTTAAAAAGAAAAAGGTCTTCCTTCGTGTTCTCTTCGAATCGGTATCGCGTCACACCTTGATCACGATCGTGATTATTACGATTTCTCGTACTTTCTTCGTTCCCCGACCGGTAAATCCTATAGAAACATGATGTAGTTTACAAAAACTGTGACGGGACCTTCTGTCAATCACATGTATATATATTGTCAATATCTTTTAAACATCTCCGAGGTACCCGGCCAAGCGGAACGTACCCCAAGCCCTAGAATCGTTATACCGAAGAGATATAATTTATCTTGTAGCGCCCCCACTCGTGTCCGCTTAGAATTAAACGCGTTTGAAAGTTCGCGCGTGTCCAACGCCTCGCCGGCCGCGCGAAGTATCGTTTAAATGTTTTTTTCTTTCAATTTCATGGTATGTATGTACGTGTGTATGCGCTAAGGATAGAGGTAATTGTTATTAATAATTGTTAGACGGTGGTGGTAGTAGTAAACACTACGTAAAACAAAGTATCTGCAGTTTTCTTTTTTTCTTTCGTAACACCGGAGAGAGGATGGCTCCTCTCTCTCTCTCTCTCTCTCTCTCTCTCTCCCGTGTGTGTCTCTTATTGTTCAAACAAACCTCACGAGCCGAAATATAATATATATATATATATTATATTTCGGCTATATATAATATAATATAATATAATAATATAATATTATAATATAATATAATATAATATATATATTATTATATAATTATAATTATATAATATAATATATATAATCTTGCCGGATAGAGATCTATTCTCGCAAGCTATAATACACGTAGTTGAGTCGATGCGAAAAAATTGAAGGATCGTTCGTAAACTGATTATACGGATGTAATTACTAATATGTATTTCTCGTCTTTTCTCTTTCTCGTTCGTTTTGTAAATCGCTCGAATTTGTTACCCTGATATTGTGCAGTCGAACGAAAACTGACTGTAACGAAGGAATTAAAACCTGCTTCTTCGAGTACGTTCACAAAACTGTGTGTTCTACCAGTGGCACCCAAAATCGCTGATCGTTCGTAAAGTGTTAGCACCATTTCCTACGATAATCGTCCTCCTTGGATAGAACCATATTTTTTTGTTTGTTTACGCTTACACAGCGGAATCGCTCTGAAAACTTTTGCGACCTTAATTATAATGGTTAACGATTCCGAATAAATGCGGGAAGTAATTTGAATTTGAAAGAAATTCGCTCTCTCTCTCTCTCTCGATCGTTTCTCTCTCGAAAAATTTTCAGAACGATTCCGACGCACCTGCTACGACACGCGATATGCTACGATATAATAGAAAGTAGTACGCAAACACTGAACCTCGTGTTGTTATTATTAATCGCGGTTAATTATTAACGCTCCTCGTTCGGATGGAAAGGGAATAAATATGCGCGAAGGACAATTGTTTGTTTTTTTTTTCATCTTAAATACTCGCTATATAAGAGTGTGGGATTATTAGACCTTATACACGGTGTGTATCTGTGCAATTTATGTACGCTTTTGTACGCGCGCGTGTGTTCCTTTCCTCCTTTACGTGATACGTACACATATATGCACCTGTATACATGTGTATATGTATATATGTACACACTCGCCACGCACATAACATAACATATACACACATGTAAGCATTGTCGAACACAGCCATCGCTAGGTACGCAGCGTTTTAAAGATCCGACACAGTTTTATTCGTATTCTTTTTTGTTCGTTTCTTTATGTTGTTGCTGGTGGCGGAGTTTAAGTACGATTAGGGGAATCTTACGTCGGTACGTCCTACGGTATGTGTAGGCATGCGCGAATGTTATTTCGACATCGACTAACAAAATCTTCACTATCGAGCTGCTGTTGTTGCTGCTACATGCTCAAAGTTAAACGCAACGTATCGAGAGGAAGACTATTATTATACCGACATATTAAGTGCCCTGCAACGGTGAAACCGAGGAATCAAGTCGTAGAACAAAAATTCGCTGTACAAACGCATCGAGATTGTTGTTCAATTTTTCAATTAGTTATAGTATTCGCGCATACCTGATCGCTATGATACATTAGGTGGACCGGAAAGTTATGTCGTTCGTTTACATGAAATTCAAACAGATAAATATGCGCAGAAACGACATTACTTTCCGGTCCCCCTAATACTATTACAATAAGTTTTTGCTTCTGACGGTGATAGCCGCGTACGTATTTTCCTCCCGCGTCCGCTTCACTCGTTTTCGCTTTATACAAATCGATCCTGCGAGTTACACGCGAATCGTGCGCATTGTATACGTATAACCCTTATAGAAACCTCTCTCGCGAGCGAGGCACGCACCCTTATGGTATATCGACCAAGAAGAACAAAAAAGAACGCGTCAAAGGACTGTTCGTAAATCAGCGTATGGATCGTGGAGACGTTCGTAAACGTACGGATGAGCAATAAACGATATTTAGGCTCTAGATTCAAAGTTGCGACGAATTCTCTCCACCTATCGAATGGTTTGTTGGTTGTGCATTCGCCCGTTTCTCCTCCGGTGACGCCGTTTCCATAAAATGTTAGTTCCCCGCAGCAGAAACTAACTGATATTTCCGTCGAGTTGCGTTCAGTTCAATTTGTTCAGATTTATTCAATTTATTCAGATCATCCGATAGTTCGTTGGAATTGGAATCAAGCAACCCCTACCCCCCCTCCTGAACCGATCGCAACCCTTCGAACGTTCTCACGAAATCGTGATAGATTGCCGATACTTGTATGTATGTATGTATGTATACACGTAGATGTATATATGTATGTAGATTTTTGTATTCTCAGTAAGATATTTACAAAAAAAGTGTAGCAAAGTACGCTCGTTCATAACATATGAAGTATAATATCACTGGATCCGTTAAAGTTTACTTTGGAGACTTATTTAATCCCTTTTCGCGTACACGTGCGCGCGATCGTTTCTCACTATTATGACATCTACGAAAAACGCTTTTTTGTAAATTGATTTGATATTTTGTGTCAACAACTTCGCGATCTATATATATATGTATGTATATATATGTATTTTTGCATCTTTTAATTAGGTTTTATCTCGCAGTCAGTACCGTTTAATGCGTATAGATTTACAGTCCTTCGTTTCAACCCTTTTCATTACGCCCCGTTTAATCGTTTACTGTGAACTAACATTTACGAGATGAATATCCAACAATCTTCGCCGAAAGAATGTTTTCGTATTTGAATATTTCGGATTCTCGAAAACGAAGGAACCTCCTCTCGACTCCCCTTGTCAACGATAAGCTTACGGAGAGATTTGTTAACGTTGTTCTCCTGCTATCTGTGGTATAACGCTCGTCGAGTGATTTTTCTTGAAGTTATTGCGATATTACAACAATTCCGAACACTTGATGATCCCGCTGTGCATCCTCGCATCTTTTGTTGTTTTACGTAAGCACGTTTTTCTTTTTTTTTTTTTGTAAAACGCCAATGAAGTCGGAGACGCAGTCTATTTTTTTCTTTTTTTTTTTACTTTGGTCCTTCGCGTTATTAGGTTTCGAATTTTGCGAGAGTGCCGCGCCTCTGATCGTTCTACTTCACTGTGTTCATCGAATTCTAACTCGAGGCTGACTCGTCTCATCGAACTGTACGTCGAATTATGATATAGTAGAGGTCTTGCGTTTTTTTTACATTTCCGATAAACATTTTGCACCGACAGAGCGCAAATATTTTCAGCCAAAATGATAAGAGGATCTTCGCGTAGCGTGTGTGAACCACGGAGCTACTTGATAAGAAATTTAATTGGTCGTCCAAGGTCGCTAAGGCGCTAATCCCACAGCTATTTACCCACTTTTTACCGTTGTTATTTTTCAGAAGCTAACTCTACGCGCAAAAATGTTTACACCTTCGATTCTGTTTGTCGTACGTAGATTCACTTTTCATCTACGGTTTTAGTGCCTTTTCGAATGTAAGTAGATCCTCTTGTTATTTCGGTGGGCGTACAGCAATACCTCGTTTAACAAATCTTCACGTAGAAACGATTCGTATGCACGCGATAGTTCTGCGGTGGCACGACTCAATCGATGCTAGAACATTTTTTCAAAAAATTAACACAACGACAGATCTGCTAAACAAATTCTCTTCGTTAAAACGAGGCATTCCTGCAGCAGTTTCCTCGAACCCTTCTATAGTAATAGCGCAATAACATCCGCTACCGTGGGACCTCGCTTCCGATATACATTTCACTCGCAAGCCCTTGATTGTTTCCCGGCCGAATAAATGCTACCGAAGCATCATTACATCTGGAAGTAATCTATGGTTGCCGAACGGGAATCGATAATTATATACATTGCACGATTAAATGAAAATTGCCGTTTGCTGCTGCCGCGCGTGTCAATCCTTAAACAGCGAGAGATTGACGCACGGCCTCTCGCGGTAAAACGAGAGACAGTTTCTTGTACGTTCTATGCGTTTTCGTTTTTCTTTTTTTTTTTATCATCGATCCACGGTTACGCGAAGATCGCGCGGACCGATCCTAACCGATTCCCGGACCTCCTCGATGCGCATAAAGGTTTAGCATGTCCTGTGCGAAAACACTAAACATTCAAGAGATTCGAACGTTTTAAGAAATGAGCAAAAACACGACTCGAATCGTACCCGATCACCGACATCATATCGGGTGTTCACATATTCCCTAGCGAACGGTGGCTGGTAATCGTGTGAACATCCCGCACATTTTACGGATATCTTAAATAGAATAAGTTGACCGATCGATAACAGGTGTTCTCTGCGATGAAAAAGATTAGGAACCATGGACCTAAACGCTTAAACTAAAGCTACGCGATATCACGGTTCGAGTCTAGAATATTACGAACTTCCAACGGGGACGAGAACCGAAGACGAATTTTTAACAAACGAACAAACAAACGAGAAACATCTTTTGGTCAAGCGCTTAGACGAATGATACAAATCGCTATTCTATTAGTGTCGCTTACTGCTGAATACCTTCGTTTACCGATCTGTGCGCTTACGTCGGAAACGTTTTCTTGTTATTTTACATATTTACACGCCGCCCCCTTATTCGTTAATCTCTAATCTCGCTGCTTTTGGTTTCCCACCTTTGGCTCTAACTCCGCGCGTCGTCCACCGCCCCCACCCCACCCCCTGTTTTTTTGGTACATAGCGAATGGTACATGATATATTTTGTATTTGCAACTCAACAGAATTCGTCGACATGCGCAACACGTCGTGGATACAAGAGTTTATGCTAGAAATGTTGGATACTCGCGCGACGAAATGCTCTTTGGATCGTGTGGTACTTCGTGAACAGCAAGTTCGAGATGGCCAATTTCGTTGCATCTAGAAAGTCGAGTACGTATATCGTTAAACGATTCTGGGATTCGGTAAGCTAACATTTAAGAGACGAAAGCTCGGTTTGTCGAATTAAAAGAATATGGAGAACGATGTCGCCTGGGGACAGGCAACCCGGCATACGACGACGTGAAGTCGGTTTCGGTGTTTGACTATGCTCCTGGCAGAGTCTCTCTGACAGTTAATCAATCTCAGCCAGAACGTTTGAAGATAAATCCGAGCACAAGGACTCCGTGGAACGATGCTCGTGAAGAGACGGTTGCCGTCGCACATACAGTTTTCTAAACGCAAAGAAGTCGGTCAGTACCACACGAAAGTAAAAGCCCCGAGGCGTCGCAAGCTGATTAAGATCCCCGATAAGTGATCCGCCTGGCGTGGAGACTAGAATGTGCGACTCGAGCACGGGCCTCGAGTCATATAGTCCAGACCTGCACCTTCTCCGCGACGATGCACCAGCTCGCGTGGTCGTAGTAGGACGAGATGATGTGCAGGTTCTCCACGTACTTGTTGATCAATTGGTCCAGCTCGCCTTCCCTGAACACGTGATAGTACTGATGATAAGTTATGGCGCCGCCGCCTCGGTCGGACGGCAGGGACTCCTGGGACGACGAGGCGCTCAGAGTGGCGTTGCTCCCAGTGCTGGTGACCAGACAGTCCGTGCTGCGTTTGCTGTTGTCGGGGTACCTAGGCGGGGTCTCCTCGGATGCCGAGCGTCTCTGGATCTGCAGTCTCCTTTTCTCCGCGTACGACTTCGGGTACTCCGCGTTGTTGGACAACAGGGAGACCATGCTGCTGCACAGTCTTCCGGTTGAGTCCGCGTGACTCCCGTCGCTCAGGCTAATGGTATTGTCGATGGACTCACCTATGTCGCTAGACTCTATAGAGTTCGCTGACCTCACGTAAGGCTTCGCGGAGTTCTTCTCGGAGTTCTCCTTCTCGCCGATAAACTCCCCGGTGTTCGACACCATCACAAAGTCCATAATGTCGTCGGACGTGCTCCTGTGCATGTCGACGCCGCTGTTGTTGGCGTCCACGTTGTTCTCGGCGTTCTCGGGGAAACCGTTGTTCGCGTTGCTCAGCCAAGCGATCGTGTCGGACAAGTCGTTGTATTTAGAGGACTTGGTAGACTTCGAGATCTCCGAAGATAGTATCGGTACCTGCTCAGACTTATTCCCCTTCTTCTCCAAGACCTGACCAAGGCTCGTATCTTCTTTGACTTCGGACGCTTCGCGATTCTGGTCTGATCGCATCAGGTTTCCGTTCAGCCTCTCCGTGAAGTCTATCAAATGTTTCCGGCACTCCTCGCTCCAGGTGTCCTCCACCTCTGGCAACTGATCGCTCAAGGCAGCCTCGGTTCTAATCTTGTTCTCGGTGTTGATAGACGTCTCTGTGTTGCGTTGTGCTTGAGAGCCGACTCGGGTGTGCGTTTTCTGTATCGCAGCCTCCACCGTGTCCTCCAAGGAGCTGGCCACGTTAGCTGCCGCTTTCAACAGTCTGGAGCATTGCGACGAGGAGTCTGTCACGGTTCGAACCTCTTCCTCTTTCGAGTCAGCCACGTATCCCGAAGATTCCTCGTTGGTGGTGTCGCTTGGATCGGAAACGTTCTCCGCCGAGCTGTCTAGAACCTCGGACTCCGTGCATTCGGACTTGTTGTTGTCTTTTTTAGCGTACCTCTCGTCCGAGATCACGCTGATCACCGAGCCCACGGACTCCGGCGACGACACACCGCTGGAGTCGCTGTCGAGATCGTCGGTCTCGGGGTTAAACAGCTCCAGCGACAGCAGCCGAGGCAGAACCTTGGTGACAGCTTCCAAACGACCGCTGGCCGTCGACGAGGCTCGCCTAACTAATGGGAAAGAGGGTTTAGTTCTAGTCGCGAAGCCCGACTTCTGCTTCAACAGCTCCTTGATCTGATTCAACATGACCTTACGACTCTCGTCCTCTTTAACAATCACGTTTTCTTTCTCTGGACAAGGCGTCACCTTCGTCTCCACCGCGTTGGATATCAACGGAGCGGTGTCCTCTATGGTCTTTGGTTCGTCAAGGTCTACAGTCTCGGACATGGACCTGAACGCGCGTATGGTTTGTAAAGAGGGTTTCTTGGTTTCGAAAACGCTGCTCCTACGGACTTCGGTCTTCTCGGGCTTCTTCTCAGCCTCTGGAACCGGACTGGCCGGCTGTTGACCGACGTCGACGTTGTCCGATTTGTTCGAGGCAAGCGTTTTCTCGCCGTTCAGAGGTTGCTGGGTCGGAGGGGGAGCGAAGAACGGTCTCGTGAACACTGGATTCAAAGTTCTAGGTGACAGCCCGGGCGGACTAGGTGGGGGCAGAGATTTGCTGGTCGCCGGAAACTGTTTGAGCAGCGGAGATATGGAGATGAGCTTGAGTATGGAATTGGAGATGTCCGGCGGATGTTTGACGCGGGGAGAAGGAGGCGCCGAGGTGCTGGTCAGGTGATGATGACCGGTGGTAGCCGGCAGAACGTCCACCGCGGGCGGGACGTCCTGCTTTGGCACGTAGATCACGGACCCGATGCTGTCTTCGGAGTCGACACTGGTGTCGCTCTGCAAACTGTTGTCCTTGGACGAGTCCGAACCGTCCTCTCTGGACAAGCGTCTCTCGATACCCTCCACTTCCCTGGTGACGGTCGCGGCGGGCTCGACCTTGTCGCTGGCTTTCGCTTTGGACTCGTCCTGCGCGTCGGCCGCTGGCGTTGCCTCGCTCTCGCTCGACTTCCAGCCCTGCAGGATCTTCACGAAACCGTTCTTGATCGACATCCCCGAGACCTCGATATTCGTCGACTGTTTGATCTTATCCGTGAACCGCTGAAGCCGCTTCGACGCGTTTCCCGAGTACAACGACTCGCGCAGAGCCTCGAACGTGGTCCCTTTGTAGATCAGGTCCTCGTTCAGAGACGCCTGCTTCATGATGTTCCGGCGGACCCGCTCCTTCTCCTCTAAACGATCCGTGGACATCAGCTCCTCGTTCATTGAGCTCTGCTTCAGGATACTTCCTCGCTTCGAGTGATGACTGGGTGTTACCTAGAATCGCACGAATAACAGTGGCGAATGTAAGAAGAAGACCGTTTCAAGAAGACTTCGAGCCTGCCTACCTTAGAGTCTGGAATGTCCTTATTTAGTTCTCGAATGGCAGTGTTAACAGGATTTTCCAAACCGGCGACGTCTTCGAGATGAGACTTCTGCTTGACCAGCCGTGGCTTCGATCCGCTCATCGACGACGAGGTCCGAGACTCACCGTCCAGATTCAGATCCGACGTTAATATGGAGCATAAACCCGGGATGCTGGATCTGGACCTCACCAGATCCTCCAGTCGCTGGATCTCCAGGATGTCACCGAGGCTCTTCGATTTTATGCTCAACGAGTCTGTGTGCTTGTTCAGGTTCACGTTCACGTCCTCCACACGACGCAACTCGATTGGCAGCTCGTCCACGTCCGGCGGCTCCTCCTGCTCGTAGTCCTTCCGGTTCTTACCGCCGCCGTTCTGCCAGCTCTCGAGGAACCAAGGCCGGTTCCCGGATCCACGCCTGCCGCCAGCCAGTTTCTAAGGATCACGAACAAATAATCAACGATTACACGAATATGCATGATAGCAGAATGGAAGCTGTTCGCTCAATACGATGGGGCAAAGTACAACTTGATCTTGCGTCAAACTTTATTTAAATATACTAATAATATAAAATAATAATAATAAAAATAATAATAATAATAATAATATTAAATATACTAAACAGTTCAGAATTTTTCTCAAGGCCTGTGAAACATTTTCTGGAGATCTCTAGGATTTTTCTGGAGGTCCTGCCAGAGGCCCTAAAATTTTCCCGACGGCACGAGAGGTTTCCAATAACTCCGCAATGAAGAAATGCAACAGAGCATTTGTACAGCCACGCTGCAAGTGCATCGAGCCGGCAAGCGCATGGATCTAGTTCACCAAGGGGGTCTCAGGACTCCGTCGGCTCTCAAAAATCGTCTGGATACGTGATCGGCCGGATCGCATGACCGCGTCCAGGGCGCATTCCGCAAGCAGTTACCCTACTTTTTGGCGCGAACATTGTTACGGTCGCGCGCAAAATCGATAGTACGCTTCCCGACAATTCAGTTACGTATTGCGGGGATGGTTATCGTGTCTCGCCTTGTATACGACAAGTCAAAACGAAGAGAGAAAGAGAGGGAGAGAGAGAGAGAGGGAGAAAGAATGAGAAAGAAAGAAAGAGAGAGAGAGAGAGAAAGAAAGAGAAAGAAAGAAAGAGAGAGAGAGAGAGAGAGAGAGGAATAAGCACGGTGGCAGGGGAGAGGAGAAGCAAGAAAGAAGTAATTTAGACAGGGTCGCACGCGACCACGCGCGCTTGCGAGCACGTGACAGAAGCTTCAAGGAAACCCCTAGCGGCATGTTACCTGCAAAGCGCGACGGAAAAAACTGTAGCAGGTCTCGTTCGGGCTGGACAGGCTGCTGGTCGACGGCGATGGGCTGAATATCGGGTCGATCCAATAGCCTTTGCTCTTGCATTTTCGTTGGCTGTCCCTGCTGAACCAAAGCGTACGCCATTAGCTATAATTATCTTGCTCACCTTCCGCCTGCCCCGTCCGGTGGAAAAGCGAACGAACAAGGACAGAGAACGACGGCGGAACGTAATTTCGCGAGGCAATTTGAAATTGCTTTCAGGGACATTTTCCAACCCCTTCGTGGACGACGGTACGCGAGAATATTAAGCGCGGCTTTTGGACACAATTCCGGCCCGATTTACGTAATCGTAGAAATCAAGCCGCCGCGTGTTACACGAAATTTGTAACGGCTCGAACTTAAACGCGAATTTCTACACTGATCGGATCGAGCATATCAAATTTAATTGGCGTATGCAAAACGCTAGCAGTGCGGTATTATATCGGTATATTGTATATATGTTCTCGCATATATACTCGCATCCTTATAACGTATACATGTATCGTTTATGCAAGGAAACTCTGGCAAAGATCGGAGAGTGGATAAGTACTTTTGAGCGTTCCGAGCGGCATGCACGTCGCTGACGTTCAACGTGCCCGAATATTTCGATCTCTTCGACGAGTTGGAACAGTAGGCTTTGGGCCATGGGACTAAGACATCCTGGGACTGGAACTGCGAACAGAAAAGAATAGAATAATTTACGATCCGGTTTCTGACACTATTCTTAACTCTTTAACTGGTATATATCTCGGTACATGGATGACCGCAATATTTTATCTTGATTCAATTAAACGTTGATTAAATGTAATATTATTATTATATATATATTATATTAAACGTTTGATTAGTTAACTTAAAATACTAAAAGAATTTAAGAACCTCAATGTAATATTTATCACATCGGCGAAATCGTTAAAGAAAGAAAGTTTTCTTCGACTCGTGTTTGTTACAATTACAACCAGTTGAAGGTTAAAATCCTGGAGTTCGAAAAGGAAGATTTACAAGCTAAAAGTTTTATGAAAGCCGGCTCGTACATTCGGTTGACCTTTCGGCGGAGACACGTTCCCCGAGATTCCTTCGATAAATAATAAAATATATACTATCGTCCTTTTTTCTCTCCAACGAGCCACGGAGATTCTATTTCGCGTTCGCGCGAGGAGAATGCGTTTCGAAGGACGATAAAAAGCTGTTCGTCGGTGCGTGTCAATTGATAGAATTCATCTCTCTCGAACGGTGTGTGTCGCAAGACGCGAGGTAAAAAGAAGCAAACCCTGAAAAATAGAAATGCCGCCGATACGTGCCCGAACGGTTCGCCTTGGCTGTATGCATCGGAACAATTGTATCGATTGACCGTCTCGGCTCGCGTGGGCGTGTTTCATAGGCTCCGTTCGAATGCCGTTTGCATTCAATCGTATCGGATGACGACATTTTTAAGCCGATTCGAATAGCTCGCAGCGATCCGCGAATCCCTCAAGTGACCCCCGTGATCGGCGATCACTGCATAGATCGTCTCGTATCGCGATCAGAACGCGCGTCTCGCTGCGCGATGCGCTTCTCGCCGCCGCGTCGTGCACTTGTAATCTCTCGACTATAAAAAAATTCTTTCCAGTGTCGAACTTGTTCTTGCGCTTGTTGCTAGACTCGTTGAAATGGATCAATCTCGAATGATCCACGCGCAACGGTATTTGTCGTACAAATCATTGGAGATCAACGCTGGAACTACCAAACCGAAATCATTGCTTTCTGATTTATTTCTTTTACAGTTACCGATATCATAAAAATGTTGACGTATAATTATACGCATCAGTCTCGTTAAGAGATCGGTATTTCTAGTGTTAAATGCATCGCGGCTCGATTTGTCGAAAATCAAAAAAGTGTACGGTTCCTAGTTAAGACTATAATCGAGCTGAAAGTGTCGAGGTCTCTCTCTCTCTCTCTCTCGCTCTCTCGACAGAGAATTGTTCTACTCTCGTTGTCGACGTCGCTGTCGGCAGGCGGACCAGTTACCTTCCTATGCCTTTGTTCCATAGCCCATACGGAGATGACCAATCGGCCGCCGATCCGCAGCACCCGGGCGAGCTCTTTCAGCGCGTGCACCCTCCTCTCCGTGGTAGCGAAATGATGCACCACCGCGATCGAGAGGACCGCGTCGAAGCTCTCATCTCGAAACGGCAGGGCCAAATTGTCGCAGATCAACACCTGAAATCCGTGCGACGATGTTTTAGAAGAATCGAGAATCGTATAAATAACGCGCGCGCGTTAGAATTTGTTCAATATAAACTAGAATATTTCGATAATTCAGTCGACTTTCTTCACGCGAAATAGAAAAACGCGGTCGTCGCTCGCGCGCGACGCTGTGCGGCGAACGCGTTTAACTGTCAAGAGGAATGCAAAAAGAGTTTTCCGGCATCGCGTTCGCGTGCATCGATTAATTATCAATCGATACGCTCCGATAAGAGCGGAGACATTAATATGTCGACCGCGTCACGGTTCGATTCGCGGTAAATTCGCCCTAATCGACGCCTCGGATTGTACACGAAAATCAGCAATTCCGGGAGAGGAGATTACGATTGTTCGAGCTCTCGTGATCGATTTTTATGGATTTTTATTGCCAACAATTATAAAGACGAGGCGCACGGCTCGAATAATCGTGTCTCCCTTTCCCAAATTTTCCATATTCGTGCACTATGAGTGCGACAATTAGAGAGATATAATAAATATAATATAATGAAATATAATAAATAATAATATTATATAATATATATATATAATAATAATAATAATAATAAATATAAAAATAATAAAATATAATAAATAATAATATTATATAATATATATAATAATAATATATATATAATAAATAGTAGATAATATATATAATAATATAATAATAATAAAAAAATAACCAGCAGCACGCGGCGATTAATCGGCAGCAGGGGAAACACGGTTTCTCGCTAGTAATGCTCCGGATACAATTAAACGCGGTAATTACGATTAGACCGACGGAGCCAGGATACGGATGTAAGAGTCGGTTTCCTGTGGTACCCGGTCATACGCGGCCGGTCGATCCGTGTTTTCATCGAAATGATATATTCACCTCATTTTCCTTCTCACGCGCGATATCCGTGAAACGCTTGCACCGGTCCACTCCCACCTTAAAGATGCTGTGATTAACGCTCAGATACTTCCCGTTGCCACAACCTGGACAAATAAAGCCGAGCGTGAGGTAACGGATCCCCGTCGTTGAACGTTTAATCGCGAACGAGCATTTCGAGACATTGAAATTAAACGGGATTGCAAAATGGCCGACAATTTCGCCGACGATTCGAGCATGAAATAATTCGCTGATTCGAGTAATTTATTTGTTAACAAGACAATTTATTTGTTAATAAGACTTATTATTTATATTATTAATAAGCTTATTATTTATTCATAAGCTTGATTAATAAGCTCGATTTTTCCGAATGGATACAGCTCGCAGAAGAATCTGTCGAGATTACTGTCGCAACGATCGAGCAGAGGACAAGAAGAAGCCGGCAATTACGACTTTCCGCGTCGTACAGAAAACCGCGAGCATGTGTGTTTGCTATGCTGAAAAAAAACTTCTGGCTGAACGCGCGGCGTACGTGCGGTCGTATTGCGAAAACTGTCCGGAAAATAAATGCACCGCGTTTACGGCATGAGAAAAGTTCACGCGGGGTTATTAGACGATGTCAGCTTACGGGAGAATAAGTGGGAAAGGATCGTAGATTATTGTGGAAATTAATGTTATATAACGGTTCGGCCGTTGGGTTTCGCCCCTGTTTTCCAGGAAAACTCTCTATCCATTCGGGCATCGAATTCCACGGACTCGCGGCGTGTGCATACATACGTACAGTAATGTCTCTCTAATTGACGCTCGGATTGTCCACAAGAATGAACAATTTGGGAAGAGCAGATGCGATTGTTCGAGCCTCGTGGCTCGTTTTTTATGGTTATCGATTGTCAACAATTATAAAAGCTCGAATAATCGCATCTCCGTTTCGCAAATTGTCCACTTTTCCGCACAATCTGAGCGCCGATTAGAGAGACATTACCGTAAAAATCGACTTTTCGAACGGCGAACGAACTCTATAAACATTCTTCGATCTTCTCTCGCTAAACACAGAACTCGTCGAACGAACTTTCTCCGACAGCCATCACGCGATTAAAATATGTTCGAGATGCTATTTTCCACGCGCGACCAACGTGTCGCAAAGAAGAAAAGTCGATGCACGATGAAATTACAAGGTCGAACAACTGCGAACGGGATACAATTTTAAGGTCGAACGATCCGCGAACAGGGTGAAAGAATTACAAGGTCGGACACGATCCGCGAGCAGGGTGAAAGNGATTTTTCCGAATGGATACAGCTCGCAGAAGAATCTGTCGAGATTACTGTCGCAACGATCGAGCAGAGGACAAGAAGAAGCCGGCAATTACGACTTTCCGCGTCGTACAGAAAACCGCGAGCATGTGTGTTTGCTATGCTGAAAAAAAACTTCTGGCTGAACGCGCGGCGTACGTGCGGTCGTATTGCGAAAACTGTCCGGAAAATAAATGCACCGCGTTTACGGCATGAGAAAAGTTCACGCGGGGTTATTAGACGATGTCAGCTTACGGGAGAATAAGTGGGAAAGGATCGTAGATTATTGTGGAAATTAATGTTATATAACGGTTCGGCCGTTGGGTTTCGCCCCTGTTTTCCAGGAAAACTCTCTATCCATTCGGGCATCGAATTCCACGGACTCGCGGCGTGTGCATACATACGTACAGTAATGTCTCTCTAATTGACGCTCGGATTGTCCACAAGAATGAACAATTTGGGAAGAGCAGATGCGATTGTTCGAGCCTCGTGGCTCGTTTTTTATGGTTATCGATTGTCAACAATTATAAAAGCTCGAATAATCGCATCTCCGTTTCGCAAATTGTCCACTTTTCCGCACAATCTGAGCGCCGATTAGAGAGACATTACCGTAAAAATCGACTTTTCGAACGGCGAACGAACTCTATAAACATTCTTCGATCTTCTCTCGCTAAACACAGAACTCGTCGAACGAACTTTCTCCGACAGCCATCACGCGATTAAAATATGTTCGAGATGCTATTTTCCACGCGCGACCAACGTGTCGCAAAGAAGAAAAGTCGATGCACGATGAAATTACAAGGTCGAACAACTGCGAACGGGATACAATTTTAAGGTCGAACGATCCGCGAACAGGGTGAAAGAATTACAAGGTCGGACACGATCCGCGAGCAGGGTGAAAGAATCACGAGGTCAAAGAACCGCAAGCGCGATGCGATTACGAATTGCGTCGCCGAATCGCAAGAACGACGAGATTACAAAAGAAATCGTGTGATTCGCGAAGGGATGCTCTGTCGCGCGTGAGAATTGGCAAATGGACGGGTCTACGAAGTCTGAACAACGATCCGCTTCCGAACTCTCGCGAAATTGTAAAATCGACGAAATTGCGGTTGAAGACGATGAAATACGATTTATCGAAAATTTCTCCTAATTCTCCTAATTCTCTGGGGACTTCGCGAAGTTCCGCTCGTGGCCGCGACGAAGCGATAAAATCGAGCGAAAAGATGCGGCGTCGCGACGCGAGGCGACGGAAAGACGGCGACAGAGGACGCGGAATCGCGTTCGTTGCGGGGAAAAACGGTGTGCTCGGGGGTAGACGAGAGTGCCAGCCGGCTGCTCTCAAAGTTCGCCGGTCGATGAGTTTGTGTAATCCCGACGGAGAATGGATCCCACGGTATTTCAACGGCGGTGCGGCGCGGCTTGATCATGCGACGTGGGATCAGGCGCGGGCACACGGGCCTCGTGTGCACGGGTGAACGCGAGCTGCACGGATTCGCGTCGATACATCCGCGCGGTGGAGGTCAATTGATCATGTGAAAGCGCGAGTGACCGAGGCTCTGCAGAAGCACGAGGAAAACCGGAGCAGCGAAAAACCGGCGAATTAAGCCGCGAGAGCCCGGAAATGGGTCACCTGGGAGAGTCTTCTTTCGTTTCCAGTCAATTTTCTCATCAACCGCAATCACGGCCCCTCCGCGTTTTCGGTTATTCGGACCGCGCGCGCACGCTCGACCGGAGGAAAACATCCTCTGTCGCAATACGACTTTTTCTCGTTTATTTGTTTATTCGACCAGTTTTAGCTGCGCCGCGAGAATCGAGCGACGACGAGTATACTGGTAATGTCTCCCTTACTGACGCTGAAATTGTGCACATAAATGGATAATTTGGGAAGAGGAGACACGATTATTCGAGCCTTGCGGTTCGTTTTTATAGTTACGAATTGTCAACAATTATAAAAACGTGCCGCTCGGATAATCGTATCCCCTCTCCCCAAATTGTCCATTTTTGGGGACAATCTGAGCGCGAATTAGAGAGACATTACTGTACTCGTCGAGCACGGAATGAACGTCGCTGTTTAAGTTATTGGACCGAAAAGACGGTTTTATTTTATAAAATTCGCAATATTATTAGTGATATTCATACTGCATATATACTCGTAATAGTTGCAAATTGAAATCGCAGCTGCAGAGTGGAATTCGGCGAAGCGAGAGAAACGATGCATAATTGATTCTAATGAGTGATCCATAATTAAAAATAAAATTCATAAATGATTCTTTTCCGATCTTATTTTGTATAACAACGTGAACGCCTTCGCGTAGAATTTGCCTCGATATATTTCTGAACACCTTGAAATTAGAGAATATATTTTCGCTTTCACTAAAAAATTACTATTTAAATAGCCAACGAGAGCTTTTTACGAGACAAGAAATACTGCCCTGCTTCTCCATTATACATATTTATATCAAATTGAACGATTTAACGATTACCACGAAATTCTGGTAAACAATTTCTGAAACGAGAAACTCCGCTGCGATACATTTTTAGCGTGTTCCGGTCCGATTGATCCAAGAGAACAATCAGCTTCTCGAGAGCTTCCTTCGGATCGATCGTAATCTCGAGTTAGCGACTGTATAGCTAATTGAAGAACGAGCTGCGAGCAAGAACGAACTCGGAAGAATCGAGCGGGCTGAATGCGGGAGAGCTTGAACAACGGGAGCCGAAGGATAGCCGGGGAGGAAGGCATTTAATTGTTTCCACAGGATAATAGGGGATGTTTCCTCGGATCAACGGAGCCGCGGAGAGAGAGTTTTCGCTCACCGATGTCGCATACTAGGGCCCCGGGCTCCAGTTCCTCGAGGAATTGATAGATCCGTGGCCAGTGTCTGCTTTGGACAGTCTTTTCGGCGCATTGCTCGTAAACCTCGTGGACGTAGGCTTGCTCCAAGGCCACCGACCGAGCTACGTGCTCTCCCTCGCTTTCAGACATCCCTCTCGTTGAGATGGTTTACCCTCATCCACACGCGTCTCCGTGATACTGCAAGCAGAACAAGGGTTGTTGGGCGTATTTCGTGTTCGAACGACCAGCAACCGATACATTTTTACACGAGTCACGAACACAACTGGCGCAATTTTGTTCGTGCAATTTATTCGAAATGTTGTTCGAATGATATTCGATTCGAACGATCTACCGGAAATGTTATTATTATTATTCGAATCGAATTTGATTCGATTTAACGCTGAATATAGTCAGACCGCGTGTTTTATGCACTTATTATAAAAATTGATAAGGCGTCGTTGCGTAATTTTAGATCGATTGAAACAGTTAAACGAAGAAATACATTGTAACTCGATTCTTGTTTTATACAGTCGCCAAAGCTAGCTTACAATTACTCCATTCATAAATAAATAAATAAATAAATATTCTCTGATACGGTACAAAGTAAATAGAAAAATCGTAGCAATATTCGCTAACGATTTCGCAGCGTTTCTTTCCCAAGAATTATCTCAAATAAAGGAAGCAGCGTCCGCCTCTGCTTATGAACGGGGGTGGCGTATTCCCAGCGCGAAAGTGCGGTAACGCTCCGAAAGCTGCTCGCAATTCGCAACGAACGGCGAACAGGTCCCGAGGCACTCGGCGCATTGTAACCTATCCATTTTACGGCGAAAGGGAAGCACTCAATTTCTTCCAAACCAGCTGCCTTTTGGCCGATCCCCGTGGTGCGGCGCGGCGCGGCATAGCGCGGCGTTTCCATGCGCCTATTGTTGGCCCCGCCGAATGCCGAAACAGGCCGCCGCGATATAGCTCTTTGTTTCTTTGTCGCGCCCGGCGAACAATGGACCAGGAGTCACTTCAATCAGCCAAACGGAAAATCGGTGTTCGCTTTGACGAGCAACGGGCAACCGGGTTTCGCTCTTCGGCAAACCGTTCGTAATATTACAGCGCGACCCGGCAATTATTTAATGAAAACTACGATCCGAACGATATATGTATGTATCCTCCGGGGAGGGGGGCAGGGGGAACCTACGTCGAGCTGCTTTTTTTCGCACGAACCTCGAGACGCATTAGTGCAATATAATGACACGTGCAACAAGATTGTATTTCGAATTTATTTAGGTAATTTTGCATTTATTATATTTATAATACTTAGGTTGAATTTTATATTCATTATATTTATAATATTTAGGTAATTTTATATTTATATACGACGAGCGAATGCGACGTTCACAACGAGGCCGAGGCGCGGACAAGAATGTATCGTAATTACGTTTATATACCGAGTGTTTCACAAGTCATGGTAGAAATTCGGTCTAAATTGGGCCTAAATTGGGTCAGACCGTTTCTATGGCTGGAAATAAAGCGAAAATCGAGGACAACGAAACTGCGTGGGAGTCTTCGTTTTCGAGGCAATTGACGTGAAATGAAACAGCCTGTATAATTTCTCCGAGGCTGAACAGAGCGAGAAACAAAACAGGCGCGTAAAACGTTACGGCAAGCTGGCCGACGTAAGGAAGCCGGCGATCGAGCGATCGAGCGATCACCGATTCGCCTCGTAATATTAACGCTCGTGCATCTCGTAATCGCGCGATTCGCGATACATAATCCGTCGAGAGGCCCCGAGACTCGTCTCTGACAGGGGGCCTAACGAGCACGAAGCGAGGCCCGCGGTTCTATTTGGTCATCCGCCGATTGATATTCCGTAATCGGCCGGTGATGAAGAATTCCGGTTCCGCGGGTACCGGTTTCGTGCGTATACTTTCTCGTCACTTTCTTTTATCGAACGGCACCCGAGCACCGCCGCCGAGCCGAGTTCGGCCGCGTTCGCCATCGAACGCAACGACGACGACGACGACGACGATGTTGCACGAAGTTCCGAGGGAGTTACGCCGCGTTTACCGCTGTTCCGACGGTTTGATCCAACGACGTCGGAGTTTCACACTTTCCACGGTGTTCCTTCCGCGCTTCGATTGTAATTCAGTTAGGCGCCGGTTGCGCGTTCGCTCGGCGAAACAAGGGAAATCGGTCGATACCGAAGTCGAACGGAACCCCGTTCACGGCGGCCCGCAATCGAATCGGCTCTTCTTTCTTTCCGCGAACGATTTATTCGTCGCTCGACGCGCGAGAGACGGTTCGCTTCTCTGTCGGCGATTATCCGTTTGGAAATGGCGAATTGTTTTCAAGTTCCGCGGAGTCGCGGTCCCTCTTTCATCGTGCATATCTTTCCTGCGATTGATGGATTTTATGGACTTGCAGCATGATCGAGCAGGCGAGAAACAAAACTGGAAAGACGACGGACGAATTTCGTGATACCGGCACACATTATCTTCGATTTATCGTAAATCGTTCGAGAGCGGATAAACGATTTTCGCGTAACTCGCGTTACCCCGCAGCGCGTCTTCGATCGTTTCGGCGAACAGGAACAGCGCGACGATGTTTCTTAATTCTTGGAACGCCATCGAGATGCGCCGATCTTTCTCGTAATTGCATCAAATTCGCAACCCGACGACGATAATGATGACAGACCGCGGTATTTTTGTGCAGCGTTGAAAATTGTCCACGCTGATTTCAGGATACGGATGGCACCGCGGAAACAGCGATTTCTCTCGTTTCAACGAATTACAAACGGTGCAACAATGTTTGTCGATTCTTTGAACGTAATAGAATGGCATAAAATTGTTGGTCCAGCGGCGACAGCGGAGAACGCAATGGCGGTAACGATCGTATCTCGCCTCGGACTGGAGTATCGTTGATTCGCGCGGTTCATTGAAAATTCAATGTTAGACGAGTTCTAAATCGGCATCGATCGGCGGCCGGCAGAGGGGGTTTGGGGGGGACAAAGAATAGCAGTTTATTTTGCCGCAGCGAGCGGTTAAAAATACCCGTCTCACGGAACTTCCGGCGGCACTGAAATAGCGTGTCGAACGCTTCCGCGTTCGCAGGTTGCTTTATGTTTCACCGGAGACCTGCACCTAGGCGACCCGAGAACTATTTTTAGGGCGACGGCGACGGTTCGCCGAGGTTTTCCCATCGCTCGTGCAAAATCGTCCGTGAAAAACCCGTCCCCCCGACTTTTACGAACCTATTTACGGACGAAGGTTACGGTGTTTCGCACCTTTTACCGGAAATACCTTTCCGCGCGGCGCTTCGCAGCCCGTTTCCAGCCAATCGAACTTGCCTGTGCTTTGCAATATTCATCGATAACTTCGATATTTATCGACGTGCTTCGTTCGAACGTCTACGAAATCCTCGAATAATTGAGCCGCGGGTTCGATCGAAATTATAGCATCGACAAATTCTGGAGGAAAATTGGCCAACTTCGATCGACGATAACTCCGCGAAAAATCATCGTAGAATAATGATTTTTCTTTGAAATCGAAGCTCGAAATCTCTACTTTAAGACAGCCTTCCTGGATTTTATGTTTCGTGCGTCTTCAATATCGTAACTCTTCAAATGCGAGCCGATGTTCGTCTTCGCAATCGCAAAGTTCAACGAAGTGCATGGAGATCGCAAAATTTTTTTCGGAGACAACGTTCGCAGAGGGACGAAGTTCGATCGTTCCTCTTTAATTTAAAAAAAACGGAACGAGGCTGCGATTTTTTTTCGCAAAGTTACAGCACTTCGAAGCGACCCCTGCGCTTTTGGCGTGAAATCAGAGTTCGCAACGATACAATGTATTGTATAATGTTTCATGCGCAATGATTGTCGATTCAAATTTTAAAAGCTGTCTCTCACTTTCGCAAGAACAATGTTGCATCTAGAATGTGTCCACCTTCGTCAAATAAATGGACCTCGATGCTCCTCCCCGTTCCCATACTTGTCGACCACCTCGTATATCATGTTCCAATGTCTGCAGCGACTGTCAACGGCGAAACGAGCGTTCTTTCACGAGGATAATTAAACTCGACGAGAAACGTGGCTCACGTTCGGCTATATTGCACGAGCTGCAGCAGCAGCAACAGCAACGTCAAACGTGACTTCTGAACGCCGACCACGGAAATCATTATTCCGTAGAACCCGAAGAGGGCACGGGGACCTGCGACTATGCCAGCCGAGCCGTACTATGATCAGCCCCGCAATTAGCATGCTGGCTCTCTCTCGCTCTCCCTTACTCATTAATTGACCGGCAGCCGCTAATTGCAGACTCCCGCAGTTCCTCGATGCATCGAGATCTGTTGGCCAACGCCTGAGAAAACGTCGCTTCGACAATCGTGACAAATTGCTGATCCACCCGCGACGGCAACAACAATCCACGGGGATCATCGTCGTCGATCGAGGATATTAACCGCGATTTTTTTCACAGCCGATTAGCTCTTAGTCGCCGTTGATCGTTTCCCCGATGGAACGGGACGATATCGTTTTATTCCCCGCGGAAATGTTCAAAGATCTCGCGAAGATTTCTGCAGGAAAGTTCGGAGATCTCGCGAAGATTTCTGCAGAGAACTCCGGAGATTTCGCGGAGATTTCTGCAGGAAACTTCAGCAATTTCGCAAAGATTTCTGCAGGAAAGAGTTCCGAGATTTCGCAAAGATTTCTGCAGCGAAGTTCGAAGATTACGAGAAGATCGCTGCGGAGAAATTTGCAGAGACTTTTGTAGAGACTTTTGCAGAGACTTTTGCAGAATTCGCGTTTAACGGGTTCAGACGCTCTAAAATAACGTCGAAAAAATGGCGACTTTCGAATCGACGAATCATGGAAAGTTGTATAGATTGCGGAAAAATAAGCGAGAACGGCCCCGGCCGACCTGATATTTCCGCATCGAGCAACATCTCGTCGATGGGAATACGCTGGCCGGGAATCCACAGGTAGCACGTTTGACCTAATTAATGGCGAGATCGTCCCTGGCCGTCCTACATCCTAATGAATCGCCGCGTATCGATGGCCGGTCCGGCGTGACCCCGAGCCGAAGATTGTCCTCGTTGCCCTGACAATCGCATGCAAGATGTTCCAACGCGTCAAATCACAGCCTACGAACACGTCTTATTCTCGACTCTCTTTTACATTCTTCGTAAATGCGAGCATAAAACACGTTGTAGAT